CACCGCTGTCGTCTGGCAGCCCCTCTGCTCGCCCTCAGCCCACCATCATTACGGTGTGAGCTCCGCGGGTCTGCCATCCTCCAGCGTCGCCATGGCTGGAGAAACCCTCACCTCCGTCTCCAGCCTCCGAGGCCCAGACTCCGCCTCGGCCTGTAGACCCAGCGGCTCCACATCGGCTCCTATCTCCCTCGCCTCCACCGTCACCCGTCGATCCACCAGCTCCCCTGGGCTCCCTCGTCCCTCCGGCTCCGCCTTGGTCGGGCGTCGACCCGCCATCGCCTCAGGACTCCGCTCCCCCAGCTGCACCTCGTCGCTCAGTCCCACTGGCTCTATTGAGCTCCTTCCTCCCGCCAGCTCCACCTTGGTCCTCAGTCGCTCTGGCTCCGCCGCGGATCTCTGGATCTCTGCCTCCGCCTTGGTTGCCAGAGCCCCCGGCTCCACCCTGGCCCCCCGGATCCTCGACATCCCCCTGGCTCGTTGGCTCTCCGTCTCCGCCTCGGGCTCCTCCACCACCTGTTCCACCGCCATTGGTCGGCCCCCTGGAGTCGGCGGCCATTCCCCCTCCATGGCTCCTCCCCTCCATCGGCTCCACCGTGGGCCGTCATTATGGCTGTGGCCTGGGTCCAGCTGGACTCCTCCTGCTCCAAGCCCCTCCTGTCTCCTCCCTGGCTCCTCCCTCCGTCGTCTCCTCCCTGGACTCTGTCTGCCGGCCCCCTCCCGGGTGTCCGTCCTCCTCCAGAACCTCCTCCTTAGTTCCCACCCATTCCCCCCCTCTGTTGTTCTACGGTGCGAGGACGCACCTTCCGGGAGGGGGGCACTATGTCAGGATTCTGGACTGTTCAGTGTCATGTTTTGCTCCTGTTTCTGTTTTTCCTTATTTGGTCATGTTCCTGTCCTCGTTTAGTTTGATTATGATTCCTGACACCTGTGTTTAGTAATTATCCCTTGTATTTAAGTTCCTGTTTGTTCAGTCTTCCTTTGTTGGTTCTACTTGTTGGATGTTGTGTAATTCCCCTGTCTTTCCAAGGATTAAACATATGGCCAAATAAAGTAAAACTATATAGAAATATTTTGAAAAAGAAAAATAATAAAACTAATAAAAACTAGTAAAAATGACAAAATCACATTTAAAAAGTTCTAATATTTAAATAAAAATAAAAAAAAGATCCAATTCAAAATATTAATAAATACTACAACAGTATATAAATAATAGTGAAATAACATTGTAGGCAGCCTATCTCACTTTCATTATTTGAAAAAAGCAGCGTGAATGTTCAACGAAATATCTCCCTTTGTGTTTCAAGGTAGAAATAAAGTCATTCAATTTTAAGTGGCATGAGGGCGAATAAATATTGACATTTTCATGTTTGGATGAACTACTCCTTTACTATAATAATCATCTTACTTGAATGTATAATGAAAAATTGCTTTTTCTAGGTATTTATATCACTGAAGATGGAAACCTTCTATTTGTTTTTGTTGAAGGCAATGTCATGCTACCATCATCTTAACAACACAGCAAAGAAGCAAAACGCACATAAAGGACACCAGCATTTTCACAACTCAAACCGCAGTGAGTGAACAATGGGGAAAGGATATTACATCAGCAAACATCTGGCCACTGCAGCCATGGTACTGGCTGCAATAGCCTTGGTGACCATCTTTGCATTATCAGTGGTTTATAATCGAGAAAAGTCCAAAAACACAGCGAAATTTTCTAACGCAACTACATCGCCAGTATTTCCCACACCGAAGACTTCGAACGAACCCTGGGACAAATACAGACTGCCTGATACTCTGTCTCCACAGTACTACAACGTGACTCTTTGGCCCCATTTGGTATAGAACGCCAATGAGATATATTATATTTTCACTGGCATCTCTGGAGTGATGTTTACATGTGTGAAGAAGACAGACCTGATATTAATTCACTCCAACAAGCTGAACTTGACTCTGTTTAAGGGGCACCATGCAAAACTCACGGGTCTGATTGGCTTACACTCTAAAAAATGCTGGGTTAAATATAACCCAGCAATTTTTAGAGTGTAACGGCTCCGGCTATAAAGACAAGCTGGTTTCAGACAGAAACGCAGTATCTGGTGATTCAACTGGAGGGAAAACCGAAGCCTGGGAAGGACTACTGGCTCTACACAGAGTTCACAGGAGAGCTCGCTGATGATCTGGAGGGTTTCTACAGGAGTGAATACATGGAAGATGGGGAAAAAAAGTGAGAAGTTGTTTATGGAAGCAATAGATATTAAAGCAGCTACAAATGTCAGAATGTCATTCCATTAGACACAAAACATCAAACCAAGTGGCATCTGCAAACAGATGAAACATCTGCTATAGATTTCTAAGAACTAACTTCGCTTTTCTGAGTCATTTCTGCAATTACTTCTAAGCAACTGCTTTTGAGGATGTTTCGGTGGATGAATGAAGTCAGATCCTTTCAAGTTTCTCACACAGTTCTAGCAGACAAACCACAGGTGCACTTCCCTTCACGTTCAGCAAACAGAAATGCCATAATACTTTATATTTGCATGCATTTTGAACTTTTGTTCAAAAGTTTGGGATCAGTACCATTTTTTAAAATTAATGCTTGCAAGGATACATTAAATCGACCAAAAGTGACTGTAAAGACATTCATAATAATTCACAAAAGTAATGTTATTTGGAACTTTCTATTCATCAAATAATCCTGAAAAAAAGGGATTTATGGTTTCCACAAAAATATTAAGCAGCACAACTGTTATCAACATTGATAATGAGAATAAATGCTTCTTGAGCACCAAATTAGCATATTAGAATGCTTTCTGAAAGATCATGTGACACTGAAAATTCAGCTTTGCATTCCAGGAATAAATTATATTTTAAAATATATTAAAATAGAAAACAGTTGTTTTTAAATTATAATAATATTTCACAATATTACTGTTTCAACTCAACCCCAGACTTATGAACAATAGCGTATCTATTGTTTAAAACATCTTTTTTTGAAATGTTTTGCTTAAAAAGTGTACCTGTGCTATATTTCTTTAAAGGGGTCATATGATGCGATTTCAATTTTTCCTTTCTCTTTGGAGTGTTACAAGCTCTTGGTGCATAAAGAAGATCTGTAAAGTTGCAAAGACTAAAGTCTCAAATCCAAAGAGATATTCTTTATAAAAGTTAAGAGTCAGCCACACCTACCTAAAACGGCTCGTTCGAACACGCCCCCACATACCTACTGCACTGGGTCAGCTGGCCAATCAGAGCAGCCTGCGCTTGTCAAAGGAGGGGGCTTTGTTGAAAACTACGTGTTTGAGAGAGGCGGGGCATAGAGGACCTACAATAATGTACAGTATTTGAAAAATAATGTGTTTTTTGAACATTAAAGCATGTCAACATATTCTGTTACACCAAATACATAAAATAATGATCTTTAAAATAGCATCATATGACCCCTTTAAAACAAATGCCACTTGGTTTGATATTTTTATGTGTAATGCAAATAAATTGAGACGTGGCTTATGTTACTAAAATATTTTCTTCGATGTTCCTTTCAATTTTAGAAAAAATTGTAGATTATTTAAATGTAGAAATATGACATCTCACTGACAAACAAAAAAATTAAAATTCTAGAACAAATGATATAAAATGGTTTAAAAAACTTCACATTTGTTGAAACTGATTTATAGTTTATTATAGTTTTGTGATCGAACAACACTTGAACTGCTCTTATGTTTTCCAGAATTATTGCCATCACTCAGATGCACGCCACTTAGCTAGAAAAGCTTTCCTGTGTTTCGATGAACCTGGCATGAAAGCTGTGTTTCATATCACTCTCATCCATGACCTGGAAACGACAGCACTGTCAAACAGCCAAGAAATTAGTAAGACAAACAATCCATCGCCAAAGCCTTGACTAATTACGTTTTGTGTTCAATGAAAGACTGAATGAATATGAATGTGCTGCCCTAAACAAGCTGCAGCAAAATGGGTTTTTAGGCCCATCGGACATTGTAGAATTCAATAGTTGTCACCTGCCAATTTTACTATAAGGGATATTTTGCCCTCCAAAACATCTCATTTACTTAATTGAAATATATATTAAAAAAAAAAATTATTTACTTGAAGTTATTGTATAAACATTAAATGTTCCATAACATTTTTTCAGTTTTTTTTATTTTTTTATTTTTATTGATTCTCCTTCTCAGACCACAAGAGGGCCCCATAACTGCCTAACTGAGCCCTAACTACTTCCTGAGCCAGTTTTTAGTATATTTTAAAAAGAAAAGAGTCTGCTTATTCCGCATATGTCTAGAAACAGCTGTGAATTTCACACCTCTTTTTTATATCACTAAAGTTATTGGGGACTGGGTCTGTAAAGATCAAAAAATAAAACATCCGTATGACTTGTGCTCCATATGCATAGCCGTCTGAAGCCACACATTAGCTTTGTGTCAGTGCTGCCCTAAACAAGCTGCAGCAAAATGGGTTTTTAGGCCCATCGGACATTGTAGAATTCAATAGTTGTCACCTGCCAATTTTACTATAAGGGATATTTTGCCCTCCAAAACATCTCATTTACTTAATTGAAATATATAAAAAAAAAAAAAATTATTTACTTGAAGTTATTGTATAAACATTAAATGTTCCATAACATTTTTTCTGTTTTTTAAATTTTTTTATTTTTATTCATTCTCCTTCTCAGACCACAAGAGGGCCCCATAACTGCCTAACTGAGCCCTAACTACTTCCTGAGCCAGTTTTTAGTATATTTTAAAAAGAAAAGAGTCTGCTTATTCCGCATATGTCTAGAAACAGCTGTGAATTTCACACCTCTTTTTTATATCACTAAAGTTATTGGGGACTGGGTCTGTAAAGATCAAAAAATAAAACATCCGTATGACTTGTGCTCCATATGCATAGCCGTCTGAAGCCACACATTAGCTTTGTGTCACAAAAATGGTGAAAAGACACCACATTTGATCTGAAAGCTACTGCAGAGTGGACAGTTT